TTTGGCCAACAAATTGATTGGAATGTTTATGCGCTTTCGCAGCAATTCAATTTACGCAGCAACAAATTTGAATTACCTACAAACTCTGAGCTCCACCCACTGAGTCCACAAAGCAAAACAAATGAAATGCAATACTGAAGTCCGACAGTGGAAGAGTGAGAGAGAGAGGGGGAGAGGGCGAGCGGGCTAAATGAAAGAGAGGAGAACAGTAGTGGCCAAACAATGCAAAAATTGAAAATCCAGAGCCTGGCTGCAGCTGGGGCACGCGTCGCGTCGTCGATGTCTCTTTGCCATAATTCAGAGCAGAGAACACATGAAAGTAATTTAAAATTGCGCAATTCACACTGCCACGCCCACAGTGATCTGAGCAGCAAGGAAACACAAAAAAAAAAAAAAAAAAACGGAACATATATAAAAGGGAAATATTTGACAGACAAACCGCAGCAAACGATTTTCCCACGCAAGCAAAACCTTTCAGTAGTGGGCATATAATCGAAATTGAATTTTGGGCAAAGTGCGCGAAAAGTTTCGTGCCCGAGGCGGAAAATGCAGTTTCCCATCGTTAAAATGCTGAACCAAAAGTAATTGCAATTGCATGGGACACGTGCGGGGTGCAAATTGCTCGAGCCAAGCAAAGAGAGAGAGTGAGTGAGTGAGAGAGTAGGTAATAGAAAATACTCCTGTATTCCTGATTGAGACATATCAGTTGCCATTGCCACTTGAGGTTGAGGTTGTTATAGGGTAGGTTACGCTTATCACACGCAACACAAACTACTGTCAGCCTGGGAATGGGACAGTGACAGGGCCAGGAACAGGGACAGGGACGGGAACCGGGACAGGGTAAGAGAGTTTGTGGTACGAGGATCTTTGTAGTATCTCCCCTGCGGCTTTATGAATTATGCTCTCTGACTACTGCGTAAAATGTTTTCATTTGACAATGCCCATGACGCGGCGAGTTTTTTATTTTTATTCTATTCAGAGATTGGTTGGGGTTATTTTTTTAGGGTATGTAAAGTACTTGAAAAGGTTTTCAGTGGAAATGCGTTGCTTTTAATGTGTGTTCAAGGTAGTCGAGATCGCTTCTACTTCTCAGCATTGCATTGTTCCATATTTAATTAAACAAACTGCCAACAGCAACACATTAATGGGAACAGTTTTTTGTGTAAACAGGACTAGTTCTTATTTTGCCCCTCGTCGAAGGGAAGGTTACCAAACCGGATTGCAAATCAAATTAGTTGAATGAAATTCATATGCATGAGCTGATACTCGAGTGGCGTATTATGCAATTAAATAAATTAAAGATAGGTAAATATTAGGAGAGCATATGCATATAAATGGAGTACAGAGTAGAAAAAGGATCGAGCAATATCATTGAATGTGAAGCAGAAACACTCGAGTGAAGAAGGAAGTCGTTTATTTGTCTATGCCTAAAACTAAAATTTATAATATTAATTGAATACGATATTCTGAACTATTTTTTTTTTTTTTTTTTTTTTTGAATAAATAATTTCAGATATGATAAAAATAAAAGAAATTAAAT